TTCTTGGGGAAGCATGAAAGCATTACCGAATCAAGGCTGGTACAATCCAGGGCTGAGATAGACATCACCCAGTGTGTAGGGAGGGGGAGCTTTTGAAGAGATGCTCTCACTTACACCCAAGGGTACAATTCTACGTTTTGGGGGTAAATCCAGCATCCCTGAGAAGGGGAGGTTTAAGTGACTGCCCGTCTCAGTCGGAAAATTACCCCTGCACCAGAGGTGGGTTCTACTTACCTTTAATACCAGTTTGCAGATGCGCAGATCACCAATGACGACATCCGGGGCAGTGGGCGGGGCCTCCCTCTGGTTTTACTACCAGTTCTTGCGAACCGGTCCGAACCAGGGGCAACCCACCACTGCCCTGCACTATATTCGAGGGACAAGTGGTTCTAGCAATTTTCCTTTCAACAACATTTTTTACGAAATTGCAAGGCAGTGATTCTTTTTCTTTTTTTCTTTCCCCCGCCCCCCACTGTAAGTTTGGGTTCTGACTTTTTCTGCACGATTCAGCTTACCAAGCAGGAGTGACCTGCTGAGTAAATTATATATAAGACCTGAAAATTGAGGTGCCTAAAATATTAATTTCTTTGCATGGTAGCAATATCTTCTGAACCAACCCCCTCTCTGCCTCCCCCCCAACTCCCACCATCCAATCTCCAGCTGAAAAAAGAAGGTTTTTTTTTTCTCCAGTCTTTGCTTAGTCCACAATTCCTACTTTGTACTTGGTACAGATCAGCCATGGACAGCTAAGGTCTTCTGCTCTGTCAGATTAAACGTTAAGGAGAGCCATAGGCTAAGGAGGGAACCAAACTTTTGATGCAAATCAAAAATCAAACAACTCATCTAACTAAAACTTCCTTTGGATGACTCTGTAATCTCTTAATTCGTGGTAGAGTTTGGGCACCTGAATGGAACTGAGCATTTGCCAGCCAGATGCCCTTCCTGATGCCTATGTGGAGTTCACAGCAGATATTTTCTCTTTGCGCCCAGAAACATCTTTCACTGCCTAGGATTGAACTCTCAACCTTCCAAGTGGGTGTGAGCTTCTTCACCATTACACTACCATGCCGTTCACAACCCATCTAACTAGGGTAGATAAAAATCCTACCATTCACACATACTGATCTCGGTTTCTGTGAAAGTTAGTTAGGATTGGGGGGGGTTGTGTTTATTTCTTTCCCCTGTTTGCATGATTTTTGTGTTGAGAACATTGAGTGAACTCAGTCTGTTTGCTCATGGCTCAAGATATTGTATGAACCCATAAAATAGGTTAATTCAGTTTAAGCCTGTTGTAGGACAGAACCCAATGCTGGTGTCTACACACTCATATGGCCAAGTCTGGTTTTCATTGTGTATAAATCCAAATCAAGGAAGGGGAAAAAAAACCCAGTTTATTTAGTAGTAACACACCTTCATTTGAAACTATGGTTTGTTGTTGGTTTAAACAACTCCTGGCTTATTTTAAATATGATTGGTTGTTGTAACTGAATCCAGAGCCTGGCCTTTTGTGTTTCTACTCCATTTATATCTGCTACACAAAAGAAATGGAGAACCAAGCCGGAAATTCTCTGAACAAGCTGCCATTGATTCGATCTATAGTTCAATAAACCATGTGTCAACTCACAAAGCATCCCTGGCCTGCTCTCAAGTTGCCATAAGCAAGGGGGGATGGGGAACCGAGGAAACAGCATGGCAGCACAAAGACAGATGCACACTCCAGACTTATCTCTCTCAAGGCTGTATCCCAGGGTTACCCACAGCGGCCAGAGGGGAGTGGTCTCTACAATCCGTGAAATTCTCCGGTGGGAATATGATTGATGACACACCCTGGGGGGGGAGGGGGGAAACAGGGTGATGATTGGGGTGTAAATTATGTAGGGTCAGAGCTGGCTTCACTTGGGAACATGGTGACATGAAGCTCTAATAAATAACTGGATTTCTTTTGAAGCTTAGGGCATTTGTCGGAACCCTGACACCATGGTTTAAAAAAACCGTTAAATTAGTGTTGCCCGCAAACGTATTTACCTTGAATTTTTTTTTCAGCTTTCCCTTCCCACCAGAGAGCAGAATTTACAAGAAATTTCTCACCTGCTTTCATACATTTCCTTTCCTTTCCAAAATGCGACTTTTGACTTTTTCAAAAGCAAGGTCCAAAAAAATCGAAGTGGTGGATTATGCTTGAGAGGGGGAACCAAAAAAGATAAAATAAAATAAAGCATCTTGAGCACAACTGCTTTAGAAAACTGCTGAGGTCGCACATCCAGATTAGGAACGAATTTTAGCGCGGTGTTCGGTTTTACGGAGCTTGTTATAGATGCCGATGAAAGAAAGGGTGCGTTGCATTCGGAGGATTTGAAGACGGATCTAAAGCAATGGCTAATTCAATCAAGGGCTCTTCAGGTGAGCTTTTATTGCCATTAGATCCAATCTGCATAGCTAATTTGGCAAGCATTAGGTTCCTGCTGCTGATTTCATGTCTAATGTGCCCAACTACCACGTTTCTAATATAAACCAGGGGTGAAGGTCCTTCCTTCCTTCCTTCCTTCCTTCCTTCCTTCCTTCCTTCCATCCATCCATCCATCCATCCATCCATCCATCCATCCATCCACAGTGGTTAGAATGTAGTATTGCGGGCTAATTGAGGCTACTTCGATTTTCACTGGCTCAAGGTTGACTCCATCTTCCGTCCTTCCGAGGTGGGTAAAATGAGGACCCAGATTGTTGAGGGCAATAGGCTGACTCTATAAACCGCTTAGAGAGGGCTGGAAAGCACTGTGAAGCAGTATATAAGTCTAAGTGCTAGTGCTATTATTCTTCCTTTTCCCCTTCTTTCCTCCCTCCCTCCCTCCCTCCCGTCCATCCATTCATCCATCCATCCATCCATGGTTGTGCAGTGTTACAATGCAATATTGCTGGCTGACTCTGCTCACTGCCATGAGTTTGATCCTGACTGGCTCAAGGTTGCCTTAGCCTTCCATCCTTCCAAGGTGGATAAAATGAGGACCCAAATTGTCTTTCCTTCCTTCCTTCCTTCCTTCCTTCCTTCCTTCCTTCCTTCCTTCCGGTAAAATGAGGACCCAGATTGTTGGGGGCAAGAGGCTGACTCTGTAAACCACTTAGAGAGGGCTGTAAAAGCACTGTGAAGCGGTATATAAGTCTAAATGCTGTTGCTATTGCTGTCTCCTGATGTCCACAAGCTTTTTCCATTTGCTCATTCGCTCGGCCCTGCAATGGTTGGTGATTCTCCTCCTTTGTTTTTCTCCTGAAAGATTCTTCCCAGGGGGGGTGGAGGGGCAGAGGGGTTGGCAGTGATGGAAAATAATTGAAAAAGGAATAAATTCTTGGATTCTGCCCTCAACACCTTTTGCAGGGTACCTTGTAGTCTTCCATACCTTCTTGTCTTCCCATCCTCAGAGAGAAGTACCTAATGGTAAAAAAAAAAAAAGAAGAAGAAAGAAAGGGAAAAAAACCATGATCATTATGTTGAAGTGTTGAGCGAGGAGGTCAGTGAATTTGACAAGAGGAAAAGAAGTCATTTCCCCTGGCATCATTAGCCGTATTTTAGAGAACAGGCACTGTAATTGCTATGGTAATTGGGCTCCGGAATTGCCTGTGAGAGCGTGTCGGTTATTTTTAATGTTAATTTCCGTGCAAGGGCAAGCGCCGGAGTGTTACTTTCATGAGGTGTGCGTTGCAGGAAATGTCAAAAAGGGCCTTGATGAATCCGATCAAAAACCTCACCTGGTCTATTAAACTGTCACAATCCCAGCCAGGGATTGCACGTTCCCGTTTTACCCCGAGGGCTATTTCTCACGAATGGATTGATCCTTTGACTTCTTCCTTGCCATAGCAATAGCAATAGCACTTATACACCGCTTCACAGTGCTTTGCAGCCCTCTCTAAGAATACTGCATTCTAACCACTGTGCACCATGGATGGGTGGTGGGGAAGGAAGGAAGGAAGGAAGGAAGGAGGGAAGGAAGGAAGGAAGGAAGGAAGGAAGGAAGGAAGGAAGGAAGGAAGGAAGGAAGGAAGGAATAGCAATAGCACTTAGACTTATATACCACTTTATAGTGCTTTCCAGCCCTCTCTAAGTGGTTTTACAGAGTCAGCTTGTTGCCCCCAACAATCTGGATCCTGGAAGAATGGAAAACTGAATCAATCTTGAGTCGGTCAGGATAGAACTGCTGACAGTGGGCATAGTCAGTCTGCAATACTGCAATCTAACCACTGTGCACCATGGATGGGTGGTGGGGAAGGAAGGAAAGGAAGGAAGGAAGGAAGGAAGGAAGGAAGGAAGGAAGGAAGGAAGGAAGGAAGGAAGGGAAGGATATTGCAAAATCTCCATTCCCACCTCACTCCAGGGGAAGGATACTGCAAAATCTTCGTTCCCACCCCACTCCAGGGGAAGGATACTGCAAAATCCCCATTCCCACTCCACTCCAAGGGAAGGATACTCCAAAATCCCCATTCCCTCCCCACTCCTGGGGGAAGGATATTGCAAAACCTTCATTCCCACCTCACTCCAGGGGAAGGCTACTGCAAAATCCCCATTCCCTCCCCACTCCAGGGGAAGGATACTGCAAAATCCCCATTCCCTCCCCACTCCAGGGGAAGGGTACTGCAAAATCCCCATTCCCTCCCCATTCCTGGGGGAAGGATATTGCAAAATCTCCATTCCCACCCCACTCCTGGGGCCAGTCAGAGGTGGTATTTGCCGGTTCTCCGAACTGCTCAAAATTTCCACTACCGGTTCTCCAGAACCTGTCAGAACCTGCTGGATTTCACGCCCTGAGTCTCACCATCGTTTTTGTAATGGGGATGACCAAAACTGGATGCCGTATTCCAGGTGTGGCCTTAACACGGCTTTATAAAGCAGTACTAATACTTCACGCGATTTTGATTCTATGCCTCTGTTTATATATATATATGTTATTTATTTTATTATCAACATTTTTAACGCCCGTTACATTCCTAGACTTCTTTTCTCTTCTCCGCAGGTGCAAACAGATGTCCTATCCCGAGGACCTCCCCCAAATCTCGGTGGTCTTTATTTTTGTAAACGAAGCCTTGTCGGTCATCCTACGCTCAGTTCACAGCGTGGTGAATCACACGCCGTCCCACTTGCTCAAGGAAGTCATTCTGGTGGACGACAACAGCGACAACGGTAACTGTTCACAAGTGTTTGCAACGCCGGCTCGCTGGTTTGTGTTCCTGACTCTGTTACGCTTGCCTTGTCTGTCATGAGAGAAAGCAATTTGAGGTGGGATGCAGTAGTGGGTTCCACTTACACTCGCTACAGGTTCGGAACTGTGAGCGCTCATGTGTGCAGAGCATCTGTGATGATGTCCAGGTGGGTGGGTGGAGCCTCCCACTGCTGCCATTACAGGTTCGCCCGAACTGGGGCGAACCAATAGAAAACCACCACTGGGGAAAGAGATAGCTGAACTGGACATTCTTGCTGATTTCTTTACCCAGATAGTCTTCAACTTACAGCTGCCATTGAGCCCAAAATTTCTGTTGCTAAGTGAGACATTTGCTGAGTGAGCTTTGCCCCATTTGATGACCTTTCTCGCCACAGTTATAAAGCGAGTCACTTTCAGTTGTTAAGTTGGCAACATGGCTGTTAAAGTGAATCTGGTTCCCCCGTTGACGTCGCTTGTCAGAAGGTCTCAAAAGGGGATCCCATGAACTTCTGGGTGATATTGCAACCGTCATGAGTACATGCCAGTTGCCAAGCATTTGAATCTGGATCACCTGACTATGGGGATGCTGCAAAACGAATAACGGTTCTTAAGTTGCTTTTTTTCAGCAACGTTGTATCTTCAAATCAGTGGTGGGTTCCTCCCGGTTCAGCCCGGTTTGGCCGAGCCGGTAGCGGTGACAATATGACGTCACCGAACCAGTTCTCTTTGTTCGGGAGCTGGGCCCTCCCGCCCCCACCCACCCACCCACCCGCATTATTCTTACCTTTTATTTGGCCCCGCCCCCAATCTATTCGCTGCCTCTGAGTCCCAGCTGATCGGCTAGAAGGAAAAAACTGTTTAAACTCTTGCCACGGGGCTTCAAAGGGCCGCCTTACAGCTGATCAGTGTTAAAAGGCAGTGTGGTGGTAGACCAGTGCCCTTGAAAAACAAATGGGTAGACCGGTGCCTCCAAAAACAAATAAGTAGACCAGTGCCTGATAGACCAGTGCCTCCAAAAACAAATGGGTAGACCAGTGCCTCCAAAAACAAATGAGTAGACCAGTGCCTCCAAAAACAAATGGGTAGACCGGTACAGCTCTGCAAGCAGTTAAAAGCCTGGTAGACCAGTACCTCTGCTAAATCCTAAAGAATTGTCACATGACCATCAAACCACGCCCACAAAATAAGCCACACCCACAGAACCAGTAGTAAAAAAATTTAGAACCCACTCCTGCTTCAAATGGTCGGTAAACGGACTGTTGTAAGTCAAGGACTCCCTGTAAATCAAGATTACGTAGAAATGCCACTGATTCCCCGATGAATAACATTGCCTCTTTTTCTATCTGCAGTTGAGCTGAAGTTTAATTTGGACCAATATGTCCACAAACGATACCCAGGTTTGGTGAAAATAGTTCGCAATAATAAACGAGAGGGGTTGATCCGAGCAAGAATCCAAGGATGGAAAGCTTCAACGTCTCCAATTGTTGGTTTTTTCGATGCTCACGTTGAATTCAACACCGGCTGGTAAGATGTTGTGCTAGTTGGCAAGCTTTCTGAAATTTCCAGCTGATGTAAACTGACGAATTGGGAAAAAAAATATATGAGAAAAAGCAATGAACCGTACCTTACAGGTCCCTGCAACCCATCTCTTGCCACACGTATGTCTCTCTTTCACAAAAGAATATATTCTTGACTTGCTTATTTTACCTAGCTTTGTTATCTAATTTATAGCGTTTAAGCTACGCATTGCAATTTTATAGGTTACCACTTTTTATATTTTGCAATTTTACGCTAGTCATTCTATTCTGTTTTATCGTATACCATATTTTTCAGAGTATAAGACGCTCCGGACTTTAAGACGCACCTACCTTTTTTGGGGAGGAAAACAAGAAAAAAAAAATCTGCCTCTGCCTCCCAGCAATTTGCCTCCTTGCAGCAAACAGCAAACAGCCTGCTTTAGTTTCATTTTCATTTTCAGCACAGCCTGATTAGCACAAGAAAAAAAAATCTGCCTCTGCCTCCCAGCAATTTGCCTCCTTGCAGCAAATGGGGCGCGTGGCAATAGGCAATGGCAATCCCTGCAGCCTGAAACAGCTGAGGGTCGGGAGGCCGATCCAACCGACAATCAGCTGCTTGTGCTAATCAGGCTGTGCTGAAGCTGAAATGGGCTGTTTGTTGCAAGGAGGTAAATTGCTGGGAGGCAGAGGCCAAAGGATGGGGGCCGGCAGGTGGGCGGGGCTACTTTCAGTGTATAAGATGCACCCAAATTTTCACCCTCTTTTTTGGGGGGGGAAGTGTGTCTTATACTCCAAAAAATACGGTAAATATATTTTATTCCTCCTACTTCTCTGGTTACAAAAAAACAAGGACACCCCAAAAGCTTATTTAAGAGTCGTTAGGGAAAAAAATAAAATACCATTCATGCAGTTCAGAAGTAGGTTTTGAGATTGAGCTTGAAGGACCAAAGATATTTTTCAATAAGGAATTCATTAGACTCTTTGATAAACAAACCAAACCCACAGAGATTTTTCTCTAATGGACAATCCATAAAGGACCTTGAGATGGCAATTTTAGAGCAGCCTTGTTTGAAAGGATCTCTTCAAGCTCAAGCTAATGTGCTCTGTCATGGTCATTTCATGCCAATTAAAGAAAACCTTGTTCAAACTTTCAATTCCATCAGATGGTTTGCCTGCTAGGAAAGCTTGCTTGCAACTGGCCACATCCATCATATGGACACTTGGTGAATACCCAAACTTCTTTCAGGTTAGCTGTGTTATGAGAGCATCTATCGGGTCCCCCCAATATAGGTGTTGTGGCCCACCAGCGGCCAGCAGAGCTGGCAGCAGATTCGGACAGTGAAGAGGTTGGGGAGGAACGTGGGCCAGTCCTGGAGTCTGGGGAAGGCTCAGACGAGGGCTCTGCATTGGAGGCAGAGAGGGGGCCAAGGCCATCTGGTAGTTCTTTGCTGCCTCCGGAGTCTGACATCAGCGAGGCAGAAGAACAGGGGGAGCCTGTTCCCAATGTGCGCATGCGCAGAACTGCCAGAAGACAGGAACAATTAAGAAAACAGGGTCGACTTGGGAGTAAGGCTTGGAGATGATTGGCCCAGAGGTGGGTTTCAGCAGGTTCTGACCAGTTCTGGAGAACTGGTAGCAGAAAGTTTGAGTAGTTCAGAGAGTAAACGGCAGTAAAAATTCTGACTGGCCCCCCCCATCTATTCTCTGCCTCCCAAATCCCAGCTGATCGGGAGGAAATGGGGATTTTGCCGTAACCTTTCCATGGATTGGGGAGGGAATGGAGATTTTACAGTATCCTTCCCCTGCTACGCCCACCAAGCCATGCCACACCCACACCCACTAAGCCACACTTAGTGATGGGTGGAAACCTAGAACTAAGGAGAAATTTCCTGACAGTGAGAACAATTAACCAGTGGAGCAACTTGCCTCCAGAAGTTGTGAATATTCCAATACTGGAAGTTTTTCAGAAGATGTTGGATAACCATTTGTCTGAAGTGGTGTAGGCTTTCCTGCCTAAGCAGGAGGTTGGACTAGAAGACCTCCAAGGTCCCTTCCAACTCTGTTATTTATTCTATTCTATTCTATTCTATTCTATTCTATTCTATTCTATTCTATTCTATTCTATTCTATTCTATTCTATTCTATTCTATTCTATTCTACTCTATTCTACTCTACTCTACTCCATTCTCTCTTCTCTTCTCTTCTCTTCTCTTCTCTTCTCTTCTCTTCTTTACTCTACTCTGTTCCATTCTCTCTTCTCTTCTCTTCTCTTCTCTTCTCTTCTCTCTCTTCTATTCTACTCTACTCTATTCCATTCTCTCTCTTTTCTCTTCTCTTTCTTCTCTTCTCTTCTCTTCTCTTCTTCTACTCTAGTCTGTTCCATTCTCTCTTCTCTTCTCTTCTCTTCTCTTCTCTTCTCTTCTCTTTTCTTCTCTTCTCTTCTCTTCTCCTCTCTCTACTCTTTACTCTACTCTGTTCCATTCTCTCTTCTCTTCTCTTCTCTTCTCTTCTCTTCTCTTCTCTTCTCTTCTCTTCTCTTCTCTCTCTTCTATTCTACTCTACTCTACTCTATTCCATTCTCTCTCTCTTCTCTTCTCTTCTTTCTCTTCTCTTCTCTTCTTCTCTACTCTTTACTCTACTCTGTTCCATTCTCTCTTCTCTTCCCTTCTCTTCTCTCTCTTCTCTCTCTTCTATTCTACTCTACTCTACTCTATTCCATTCTCTCTTCTCTTCTCTTCTCTTCTTCTCTACTCTTCTACTTTACTCTGTTCCATTCTCTCTTCTCTTCCTTCCCTTCTCTTCTCTTCTCTTCTCTTCTCTCTCTTCTATTGTACTCTACTCTACTCTATTTCATGGGGATGCTGCAACAGTTGTAAGCTTGAAAAGCGGTCATAAGTCTCTGTTTTCAAGGCCGTTGTAACTTTGAATGGTCACTAAACAAACTGTTGTAAGTCGAGGACTACCCGTACAGAGCAGAGATTCCTTTTCTCCTTCTAGTGAACCAGATGCCTTTTATTTTTTTTATTATTGGAAACTGCATAAACAGAAGGGGAATATTTATGGTGTTGCTATGGAGCTATGTAAAGCATGTGAAGAGAAGGACACTGTTTCTGGCCTTAGAGGGCTACGCTTATAATGAGAGAGAGGAAGGGAATGGCTCAGCGATATCCAGGATGACAGATCTGCCAGGCATCCAAGATTTATCTTCCAATGGAGGATTGGGTCTTTTTTTTTTTTTAATCTTTATTGTCTCAACAGGCAACATCTGCATGGCCATTCACTGCAGGAAGGGCTTGATATTGAAATGAAAAATTGAGCTGAACTTGACCGTGGGTGTTGGCTGATGCTAAACCCAGCTTCCCTTTGCAGTCAGAAACATTTCAATGAAAGGGTTCAGAGATATACACTGCTCAAAAAAATAAAGGGAACACAAGCAGAAGACATCCAAGATCTGAATGAATGAAATAGCCTTATTAAATACTTTGCTCGTTACATACAATAGTTTTGTGTTCCCTTTAGTAGTTTGAGCAGTGTATAAACTACTGTATGTAAAGAACAAAGTATTTAATAAGGCTATTTCATTCATTCAGATCTCGGATGTCTTCTGCTTGTGTATCCTTTATTTTTTTGAGCAGTATATATCCATCCCAAAATAACAACCTCATGTTCCCCCAACACGTTACTGAGCAATTGCTAGAGCATGGATAAAAGAGGTCCAACTTGAATGTGTCCCCAAGCCAAGTTTTGTATTCCCATCTCCAAATCTTCCCAAATCACGCTGCTGAAATGGAATGAATGAAGGAAAGAAGGAAGGAGGGAAGGAAGGAGAAAGAAATGGGAGGGAGAGGGAAGAGGGAAGGAAGGGAAGAGAGAGAGATAGAAAAAAGGAAGGAAGGAAAAAGAGGGGAGGAGGAAGGAAGAGAGAGAGAAAGAAATAGGAGGGAGAGGGAAGAAGGAAGGAAAGGAAAGAAGAGAGAGAAGGAAGGAAGGAAAAAGAGAGGGGAGGAGGAAGGAAGGAAGGAAGGAAGGAAGGAAGGAAGGAAGGAAGGAAGGAAAAAGTAATGGGAGGGACAGGGAAGAAGGAAGGAAGGGAAGGAACGAGAGAGAGAGAGGAAAATGAAGGAAGGAAAAAGAGGGGGGGAGGAAGGAAGGAGAAAGACAGAGAAGAAAGGAAGGAAGGAAGGAAAAAGAGGGGAGAAGGAAGGAAGGAAAGAGAAAGTAATGGGAGGGAGGGGGAAGAAGGAAGGAAGGGAAGGAAAGAGAGAGAGAAGAAAGGAAGAAAGGAAAAAGAGAGGAGGAGGAAGGAAGGAAGGAGAAAGAAATGGGAGGGAGAGGGAAGAAGGAAGGAAGATAGGGAAGGAAGGAAAAAGAGAGAGAGAAGAAAGGAAGGAAGGAAAAAGGGAGGAGGGAGGGAGGGAGAAAGGAAGGAAGGAAAGGAAGGAAGGATGTTGACATAAATTTCAGGGAAATCCATGGGAAAGCATTCCCCTCCCATCCTTGGAGGAGAAGGGGGAGGAGAAGTGGGAGCAGGAGGTAGTTTCCAAGGAGAAAAATTGTCCGTCATTGTTTAATTGGATAATTGGCTGAAAGTTGGGTATCTTTGTTAGGAGAAAAGGCTAAGCATCCAGCTTCCATGAAGGCCCCAGAGTTCGGAGGTCAAAACCCCTCATTCCTGTGAGACCGTATCTGTGGCGCCTCGGTTCCATGCAAATCAGCTGAACTGGTCAGGGTAGATGTCCATCACGGTTGCTATGCCTGCCCACTGATCCCCTTCGCTGCAAGACTCTGAACTGTATTTCTGCAATGATGATGTAAAGCATTCGACTTCTTCCTACGGCAACTTTGACAACTGCCTGTGGCTTCTTCCTTCAGGGAGCTGTCACTTGGTAATTACGGAGCCCAAGGTGACTTCTCTCCTCACTGCACCCAAGTATCACAAGAACTGCAGAAGCGAAGAGCTCCTTTTTCACCCCCGGCATCAATTGCTTTAGGATTCAGGGACCTGATAGTCTAGTCAAAATGGGAATCAGGGATGATTGTGTATTTGGGTATGGGGTCTGTTCCTAGACGCATTGCACGGAGCACAGGGGAAGACGTTCATTGTGGGTAGAACTAAGAGAGGAGGGTTGATAGAGTTGGGATGGGATGGGATGGGATGGGATGGGATGGGATGGGATGGGATGGGATGGGATAGAATAGAATAGAATAGAATAGAATAGAATAGAATAGAATAGAATAGAATAGAATAGAATAGAATAGAATTCTTTCTTGTCCAAATGTGATTGGACACACCAGGAATTTGTCTTCGGTGCATAAGCTCTCAGTGTACATAAAAGATATAGGTGATAAATCATGATCACAGTCATCATAAATACATTCATCGTGAATCATAAGATACAACACATTGATAGTCATAGGATACTAAGTAAGCAATCAAAATCATACTAGGAAACCAAATAAAACGATATAAATCGTAAAGATACAAGCAACAAGGTTAGTCATAGGTAGAAAAGGAGATAGGTAATAGGAAGTATGAGAACAATAATAGTAATACAGAAGACAGGAGATCTCCATAATTCCCATCCGATCTGAATTGTAGAACGTGGATTGGTGGAGAACATCAAAAGAAAACTTTACTCTCTCTCATTCTCAAACTCCAGAGATGCATAACTTCTAATGGCTTGAGGACTTCATTTCAAAAGCAAGGTCTGTCTGCCTGAGTGGGCTTCTGGGGAGTTAAGGGATGAAACAGGAGCTTCAATTTCAAGTCATTAGAAGAGAAAGTCACCGAATGAGAATTACCTGTAGTGTCATCTTCAACACCTTCCTCTATCACTGTGCTTGTCTTCTGGAACCACATACCCCCAGAGATCTATCTGCCTCCATCCCCTGAAAATGTTTTTTAAAAAGTCATTAAAATCTTGGCTGTTTTCATTTCATCCAAACCTTTTTTTTTTTTCATGGCTTGAATGTATCAACCAAGTGCTTCCCAGTGAATGTTCAATATATAAATGTTGAGTTTCGAGTGGAAAATAACTCCAAATTTAGAAGATATCTCACGAGCTTCTTGGAACAAATTAATGTTATGATATTTCAGTTTGGTTATCTGTCCCTGTTGCATAACCTATACCTGGCTCTCTCACTATATATAATAGATTTCTTTCATAAATACCTAACAATAAAATGGAGCTATTAAGAAAACTTGGCTCTTCTCCCAGACCTTCAGCAGGCTGATAGGTTGGTCCTTGTACGGTGTTTTGATTGTTATATAGACGTTGCCTTCTGGAGACCTATGATCCATCTCTTAATTTATTTATTTTTAAATAAAATAAAGCCACTCTAAGCCATGAAGAGTCCTTTAGAGCTGGGAAGTGTTCTGACCTAGGCTTCCTGAGAAAGATTACAGCACAATCTTAGTCCCCAAAAAACCTCTTTTATTAAGATGGCTGTGAATTATGGTCATTCACAGCCCGTACTGATTCACAAACAGTCTGTGAAGATTCCAGCAGAGGTCTGCTCGAGTTGACACAGTCGTTCAGGGTCATGTTGATAAGCACCCACCTTTATCTCCCTTGAAACGCTGCCAGAGACCTAATTGCGAATTAGTTTTGCAAGGCCAAACATAGCACAGAGTCAAACAGGACTTCTCAGAGCTTGAACCAAATATATGAACTAATTGCTTCCTGCAAAGGCTCAACGTCCGTTTGCTTCTCTTTTATGTCTTATGGGAGGGGCCAATCAACTCCAAGCCTTACTCCTGAGTCGCCCTTTTTTCCCCCTTAATTGTTCTTGCCTTCTGGCAGCTCTGCGCATGCGCACACTGGGAACAGGCTCACACTGTTCTTCTGCCTCACTGATGTCAGATTCCAGAGGCTCCAGAGGCAGCACATAACTCCCAGATGGCCCTGGCCCCCTCTCTGCCTCCGACGCAGAGCCCTTGTCTGAGCCTTCCCCAGACTACAGGACTGGCCCACATTCCTCCCCAACCTCCTCACTGTCCGACTCTGCAGCCAGCTCTGCTGGCCACTGGTGGGCCACAACAGGTAGCCTCAAAACTCACTAATGATTGTCCAAATGAATAAATAACCCATCTCAATTGTTTTATAGGGTGGAGCCAGCCCTGACTCGGATTAAAGAGGACCGCAAACGGATTGTTTTACCTGCTATAGACAACATCAAGTACAATACTTTCGAAGTGCAACAGTATGCCAATGCTGCCCACGGCTACAATTGGGGTCTTTGGTGCATGTACATCATCCCACCGCAGGACTGGCTGGACAGAGGAGATGAGTCTGCACCTATCAGGTGATTCCCTGCAAAAAAGGATAGTTTGGTGGCCATTTCTGGGTAATTCTCAAAACAGGTGTCTGTGAGAGATGATGATTGGTGGGTCATGAAAATGAAGTGGCCCTCAGGGTCATCCGTCTTTCTGAGCTTGACTGTCACTTGGTCTTAAACCAAGTGACCCTGTTGGGTTCAACCATCATTCTGAGCTTAACTATTGGTTGGCCATAAATTAAGTGGCTGTTGGGTTCAGCCATCATTCTGAGCTTGGCTTTTGGTTGGCCTTAAACCAAGTGATCCAGTTGAGTTCTGCCATCATTCTTAGCTTGACCTTTGATTACCCATGGAAGCTTTTCCCATTTGGAAGATGGAGAAAGCCAGCATTGGGTGGGGAGATGATGCCATATGGGTGGGGCTAATTCACATGGATATGTCTTGGGTTATCCATCTTTTCCCCTTTATTATTATTATTCAAGAACTGGAGTTTTGGGAGTTTTGCTTTGTTTACCATAAATGTATGAAGCCTATTTTAGGCCACCTCTTAGAGCAAACTTGGCAAATGTTAAGACTACTGGCTGGGGAATTCTGGGAGTTGAAGTCCACAAGTCTTCAAAGTTGCCACGTTTGGAGACCTCTGCCCTAGAAATTATCTCATTCTCTTCTTCCAAATGTTAGACAGCTCCACTGCTGATTTTTCTCTTCTTTTTACCATTCCCATTTAGTGATGGGGCATGGAAAATTCTAGGAAGGCCAGCCATGACCCTCAAAACTAGAGAGTAGGGAAATCAATCTCATAGGGCACTGATTATTTTTCCATGCATTTGCTTTGATAACATGTGCTTTCATAACATAATCACAGAATCCCAAAATAATAGAATATTGGAAGGGACCTTGGAGGTCTTCTAGTCCAACCCCCTGCTCAAGCAGGAGACCCTAGACTATTTCAGACCAATGGTTGTCCAGTCTCTTCTTAAAAACCTCCAGTGATGGAGCCCTCACAGCTTCTGGAGGCAACCCGTTCCACTGATCAAGTGCTCGACCTGTCAGGAAATTCCTCCTTAGTTCTAGGTTGGATCTCTCCTTGATGTGTTTCCATCCATCGCGTTGTCTCCTAGAGGCCACTCCTAGAGTAATAGATGCAGGAAGAGCCCCTGTTGTAACACTCTGCCTCCTCTTGACTCTTAATTTTTCCCTCCCCTGTCCTGTGGCTTTATCGCTGTTAAGGGATACGAAGATGACTTATCCTAGATTTTGGAAAGCATTGTTTGCAGCGAGGTGTGTGTATATGTCTCTGTGTGTGTGTGTGTGTGGAAATGAAGCCAAAAGTCCATTTAGATCCCTTGATAATCTCCTCCAGTGTTCTCTACTCCTCTATCCAGGGCAGGTATTCCATCCGTAACAGGCCTGGGTTTTTGGGGGTTTTTTTTCGCCTTCTCAAAGCCGCCAGCTCCCTCCACCACCCCTTCAACCTGGCAAATCTTCCTAAAGGATGCAAATATACCCTTAGTTCTCACTTTCCTCTTATCTCTGCCGAACAGAGGGACACAAACTGGCATTTGGTGAACTTTATTTACCAACGAGCAGGCCTTGGGCCTTATCAGCTACCCTCCTGACTCTTTGTTGAGCCTCGGTATGTAGGCAAGGAATAGCTCAGGAAATCTTAATGTTCCTTGATAAACCTTCACCTGCCCTGCCTCTTTCCCCCCTTTTCAAAGCTCGCAGGCTGTTATTTCGTGGCCCTCATTTGCATTCTCTCTCTTTTTGGTACCGATGCCGGCAATTGGGGGTGCGGGGGTGCGGTGAGAAGTTGGGCAGTGTTGTGGGGTGGGTGGGGGGCTGTGCTACTTTCCGTCGAGATGCCTCTCTCCATCGTTCAGAGTAGAGAAGTCCCGTTGTTTGTGTCAGGGTGTTGGGTGACACACAGTGCGTCCTTTGTCTTTCCACCCCTTGGGGCAGGGGTAGGCTTCAAAAATTTCAGCAAGGGGTTCTCTACCCGGTTGCTGGGTGGGCGTGGCCATGGTGGGCGTGGCCTAGTCAGCCTCCTGCACCACGGCAGGGGGTGGGGGGTGTTTTTGCCCTCCCCTGGCACCGGAGGCTTTTCTTGAGCCTCCGGGAGGGCGAAAACAGCCTCCCCAGGTTCCGGAGGCCATCTGGAGGCCAGAAATAGGTCCATTTCTGGCCTTCCTGAACTTCCAGTAGGCCCATTTTTTGCCTTCCCTGAGCTTCCGTGTGCGCCCTGCACTTACCTGCATCCAAAACAGGCCACGTGGGGACTCCTGGAAGGGTTGGGGTGGGGTGAGCGGGGCCAGCTAGGAGTGGGATTTGGGGGTTCTCCGAACTGTACAGAATCTTAGCTAGAGATTCTCCTGAACCCCTGCGAATCCCCAGCAGCCCCACCCCTGTAAAGAGGGGAGAATTGTGTTTTTGGTTCCTATGTTTGGGCCGAGCTAAGTCGATTTGCATTTCCCCAATCAATGGGCTCAGTCGGAAAGCAGCGAGCCACCAACTGGCTTCTGAATCTTCTGACACACGGAAAATGATGTACATTAAAAAGGATGTGCCCCCTGCTATAGACCTCAGAGAGAATGCGTGCAAATGTTCTTGCTTTTTTTAAAAAAAAAAAAATCAGATATGTGTGGAAATGGGACAAATCACACTGGCGGTGGGATGTGATGATGGGGAGCTAATCCCATGGAAACTGATCAATTTCTTCATTCCTATAAGAAAGGCTAAAACATATGAAGAACGGTTGCAGGAACTGGGTATGTCTAGTTTGATGAAAAGAAGGACTAGGGGGGACATGATAGCAGAGTTCCAATATTTCAGGGGCTGCCACAAAGAAGAGGGAGTCAAGCTCTTCTCCAAAGCACCTGAGGGCAGGACAAGAAGCAAAGGGTGGAAACTAATCAAGGAGAGAAGCAACCTAGAACTAAGGAGGAATTTCCTGACAGTGAGAACAATTAATCAGTGGAACGACTTGCCTCCAGAAGTTGTGAATGGCTCCAACACTGGACGTTTCTAAGAAGATGTTGGATAACCATTTGTCTGAAGTAGTGTAGGGTTTCCTGCCTAAGCAGGGGTTTGGACTAGAAGGCCTCCAAGGTCGTTCTGTTCCAACTCTATTATTCTGGAAATACATATCCTTCCTGTTTTCTCTATGTCTACAGTAGACTCTGTGGCAAAAAGGAGGATGTGGAAAACATCAACAGTTGCTTCCAAAGCATGTGTCCATCTCTAAAATCTTTTATTGCCACTGTCCAGCATCTCCCTTTTCTCCACTTCATGGAGGTCGTTGAAGCAAAAGATCAAAAGCAGCAACCACTTCCAACAGTGAATGGCCCATGAGAGAAAAACCAGAAGCCAACTAATCAGTCTTCCTCCCCTCCCTATGACCTCATGGGTAGACTCAGGTTTCTAGATGCCTCCAGTGGTGGCAGACAATGTCCTCTATAAAGTATGGAATGTGCATCCAAAGTCTACATCTCAAGGAGAAGAATATTTGGATCCCTAATCTATAATTACCGTAGAACTGCACGATTGTTCATGCAGGAAATCGACTCGATCGATCGATCATAAGTCACTTTTATTCAGTGCTGTTGTAACTTTGGGCACTGAATGACTGATGTTTGTAGAGATTGTCAGTCCTCTAGGTCATGACTGTCCCAAAGATACCCTTTTTCCAGAAGGCAACTGGACTTACTTGTTTTTTCTTTTGAAGACGTTTCGCTTCTCATCACTTCAGCTTCTTGGATGAGAAGCGAAATGTCTTCAAAGAAAAACCAAGGAAGTCCAGTTGCCTCCTGAAAAACACCTTTGGGACAACCATGACCTGGAGGACTGAGAATCTCTACAGACTTTTAGCTATACAATTTGGGATGAATATCCTTTGAGTGGTGTGGGAGTAGGAATGGATTTCCAGAGAGGGGGGGGAAATTGCAGACTACAGGAACCAGGAGCACCACTCAGGTGACCCTGAGGACACAGATCAACCTCCAAGTGGCCTCAACGACCCTCTAAAATGACCAGCTATCTGCAAGGAGTAAAAGTCCTTCCTTCTCCCACCATCCAAGTCAGAGCTGGAGAAGCTTCTTGGATGAGAAGCAAAACGTCTTCAAAAGAAAAAACAAGGAAGTCCAGTTGCCTCTTGAAAAAAAGCCCCTTTGGGACAACCAGGACCTGGAGGACTGAGAATCTCTACAGACCTTTAGCTATACCATTTGAGATGAACTCCCTTTGAACGGTGTGGGAGTAGGAATGGATTTCCAGAGAGAAAAATTGCAGACTGCAGGAACCATTAGCACTATTCAAAGAAAAAAACAACAACGAGAAAGTCCATTTGCCTCCTAGAAAAAAAAGGAAAAAAACACCTTTGGGATAAATGACTGATGTTAAGCCAGAGATGTTTATCTTCTCATATCAAGCAGCTTTCCTCGGCCATTGTTTAATATGCGATGGCACCAGCAAACGGAACTCTGTCAGAGAGCTATCTGCCAGCCTTCCATGTTAATTGTGTTTGGGGGGGTGTCGATTTATCAACATAGGTTTGCTGTGAAGAGCATCCTCTTTCTTCCCCATCCCTAAGTCCCCCACTTCAGGTCGAGCAGGTGGGCTCGCATTCTTTTCATTCTGATTGAGATCCATGTTTCTTTTTCTTCTTTCTCTGTCTCTTTGTCTCTCTCTGTCTATCTGTTTTTCTGTCTGTCTCTCTCTGTCTCTCTCTCTCTCTGTGTCTCTCTTTCTGTATCTCTCTGTCTCTCTGTCTCTGTCTGTCTCTTTCTGCCTCTCTCTCTCTCTGTCTGTCTCTCTGTCTGTCTCTGTCTCTCTCTCTCTCTGTCTCTGTCTTTCTGTCTGTCTCTATCTCTGTCTGTCTCTGTCTCTCTGTCTGCCTCTGTCTCTCTCTGTCTCTGTCTCTTTGTCCTGTCTCTGTCTGTCTCTCTCTGTCTCTGTCTCTCTCTGTCTGTCTCTGTCTGTCTCTGTCTCTCTGTCTGTCTCTGTCTCTCTGTCTGTCTCTGTCTCTTTGTCCCTGTCTCTGTCTGTCTCTCTCTGTCTCTGTCTCTCTCTGTCTGTCTCTGTCTGTCTCTGTCTCTCTGTCTGTCTCTGTCTCTCTGTCTGTCTCTATCTCTGTCTGTCTCTGTCTCTCTGTCTGCCTCTGTCTCTCTCTGTCTGTCTCTGTCTCTTTGTCCCTGTCTCTGTCTGTCTGTCTGTCTGTCTGTCTCTGTGCGTGTGTGTCTCCCTCTTTGTGTGTGTGTGTGTGTGTGTGTGTGTCTGTGTCTGTGTCTGTGTCTCCCTCTCCCTCCCTCCCTCCCTCCCTCTCCTTGTCAGTAAAGTCACCTGGGAAAATGCAAACCATACCTGTGCCAGAATAGTAAAAGAGACAGATGGCAAGGCTGATGTTTCCTCCCTGCCGGAATGTCAGATTAAATTAGCGCAGGGAAAGAGATGAGATCAGTCAGAATGGATAATTCCTACGATCCATCCAGCCCCATGTCCTGCTTGTCAAAACCAGACTGTCTGAGTCCGGAAGAACTAAGAAGACCTGAAGGTGTGATCACCCAAGGCACATAAAACATGTAGAAATTGTGCATTTCTCCACCATGCAGGATTTAACCTTGATGTACTTCAGGAAACATTTACAATTTGTGTCAGAAAAACCTGTTTGCTTCTTTCTTTGCTTGTTTGTTTGTTTGTTTGGTTGGTCTGTCATTCTGTCTGTCTGTCTATCTATCTACTTACTAATCATCATCCATCCATCCATCATCCATCCATCCATCCATCTCTCTCTCTCTCCCTATCTACCTATTTATCATCTATCTCTATCTCTCCATCCATCCATCCATCCATCCATCCATCCATCTCTCTCTCTACCTCTCTACTTATACCTATCTACCTATCTACCTTTCTATTTTATCATCTCTCTCCATCCCTCCATCCATCCCCCCATCCATCTCTCCCTCCCTCCCCCTCTCTCTATGATCTCTCTCTCTCTATCTGTCTGTCTTTCTGTCTGTCTTTTATTATCTCTTTCTCCATCCCTCCATCCATCATCCTTTCCCTTCATCCACCTCTATGATCTGTCTGTCTGTCTGTCTGTCTGTCTGTCTGTCTGTCTACTTACCTTTATGTTATTTAGGAAACCAACCCATTTCTTTTCCTCCTCCCCCCCCCTTTTTTTTTTACTGCGGCCTGGGCTTCCCCCTCCAACTTTTCCAGTGGGAAGGCTTAAACCGCAACGGATGGAAGAAACCCTGTGGAGGATTTGGCACTTTAAATTGACAATATTGGTCTGCCAAGATGGTTCAATCTGGTAGAATGCAGCTGTCGCTGTTGCTGTTGAAGTCTGCCTGACATGAGGAATACCCAGCCTGTGAGCGTGTCCTTAATCTTTGGAAATCTGCAGCTGGAAAGGAGGGCTGGGAATTTTTTTATTTTTTTTACTTCTTTGAAGCCAAGATTTTTTTCTGGCCTTCCTCTTATCTGAGCTCCTGGGGAATATGAATGTTTCTGGTACCTCTTAGCATCTGTTTATACCTGTTTGCATTTTAGTTGGACCAGCTGCCCCATCCCAGCTTTTTTTAATTACTTATTTGTTATTTATATCCCAGCTTTATTTTATTTTATTTTTTACAAATAATAGCAATAGCAAAGGCACTTAGACTTCTATACCACTTCACAGCCCTCTCTAAGCGGTTTAGAGAGTCAGCCTCTTGCCCCCAACAATCTGGGTCCTCATTTTACCCACTTTGGAAGGATAGAAGGCTGATTCAACCTTGAGCCGGTCAGGATCAAACTCCTGGCAGTGGGGCAGAGTTAGCCTGCAAAACTGCATTCTAACCACTGTGCACCATGGATGGATGGATGGAAGGAAGGAAGGAAGGAAGGACAATAGCAATAGCACTTAGACTTATATACGCTTCACAATGCTTTTACAGTTCTCTCTGAGCAGTTTACAGAGTCAGCCTCTTGCCCCCAACAATCTGGATCCTCATTTTGCTGACCTCAGAAAGATGGAAGGTTGAGTCAACCTTGAGCAGGTCAGGATCGAATGGCTGGCAGTGGGCAAAGTTAGCCTGCCATACTGCACTCTAACCACTGCACACTTTGGAAAGAAGGGAGGGAGGGAGGGAGGGAGGGAGGGAGGGAGGGAGGGAGGAAGGAAGGAAGGAAGGAAGGAAGGAAGGAAGGAAGGAAGGAAGGAAGGGCAGTAGCAATAGCACTTAGACTTATATACCGCTTCACAATGCTTTTACAGTTCTCTCTGAGCAGTTTACAGAGTCAGCCTATTGCCCTCAACAATCTGGGTCCTCATTTTACTGACCTTGAAAGGATGAAGTCAACCTTGAACTGGTGGGGATCAAACTGCTGAACTGTTGGTAGTCAGCAGAATTCGCTTGTAATACTGCATTCCAACCACTGGGCCACCAGAGCTCTTAAATAACTCAAGATAGTGAACATATCCAATACACCTCCCTCCTCTTGTTTTCCCCACAACAATAACCCTGTGAGGTGGGTTGGGCTGAAAAAGAGGGACTGGCCCAAAGTCACCCAGCCGGCTTTCATGGTTTAAGGAAGACTTGAACTCACAGTCTCTCGTTTTGTAGCCTGGTGCTTTAACCACTAGACAAACTGGCTCTCCTAGTTTGCCTTGGTGTTGAATGTTAGCTATTGCAAGGTAAAGGGAAAGGTTCCCCTCGCACATATGTGCTAGTCATTCCTGACTCTAGGGGGCGGTGCTCATCTCCGTTTCAAAGCTGAAGAGCCAGCGCTGTCCGAAGACGTCTCCGTGGTCATGTGGCCGGCGTGACTCAACGCCAAAGGCGCACGGAACGCAATAGTAGCATTCTACTATTGCTACTATAGCAATAGTAGAATGCTATTTTTTCTACTTGCATTTTTTACCTGCTTTCGAACTGCTAGGTTGGCAGAAGCTGGGACAAATCACGGGAGCTCACCCCGTTACGCGGCACTAGGGATTCGAACCGCTGAACTGCCGACCTTTCGATCAATAAGCTCAGCATCTTAGCCACTGAGCCACCGCATCCCAAGAGTATCAGGACTAAAAGTGAAGGTTCAACTGACTTCCTAAATTTTGTATTGATATGGGGCCTGGCATTCATGCCATACCCCCTTCCTCTAATAATCCTTTTTTTTTTGAAGGTTTGTGGGGAGGAGGAGGAGGAAGAGGAGAATGACTATGGAGTCCTTGGTGCTCTTTGAGCTTGGTAGTTTTCTTGTAGATCTTTCATGACCCAACTAGGCAACATCATCAGTGCTAAAGGGAGTGGGGTGCTACCTTCCCACCAAAGGTGGTCCCTATTTTTTCTACTTGCATTTTTTCGTGCTTTCGAACTGCTCGGTTGGCAGAAGCTGGGACAAGTCACGGGAGCTCACCCCGTTACGCGGCACTAGGGATTCGAACCACTGAACTGCCGACTTTTTGATCGACAAGCTATTGTGCAATGCAAGAAATGGAATGGAAATGCCTTTTGCTAGTTAACTCTGAGCAGCCACCATGGAGAGGCCATGTTATATCCATCATCTCAGCCCTCACTGTCATGCCTCCAACTATCTATCTGTCTCTCTGCCTTCTTGACAGAAAGCTATTTTGTGAGCGGTCCACAGTGTGAAATCAAGGATTTAAGAATTTGGCTGGATAATACTGAAAAGGAAGTCATTATGAACCGCAATAAACCTGGCAGGGATCTTGCTGATTCAATTTATCAGCTGTCTATAGCAGAGCTGTAATGATGGCTGTTATTATTCTGATTAAAGACAAATTGATTAGACGGTTTGATGCCCCCCTGGTAGGGAAGGGTTTCTTTCTCTTTATTGTATTTTTGGGGGAAAGCAGGATTAAAATCCCATTAACGGAGGTTTTACAGCCAGGGCCTAATAAACAGTAAACTCAATCATCATGAAAATAGGAGGTAATAGCCTTCTAAGGCTGCAACGATCTTAGAGGTATGGATCAAGGACAGGTGAATTTAAAAGCTGGGATGAGTTAGTGGTTCTTTATGAAGCTTGACACATTTGCTTGGCCCTGTATCTGCAAGTCATAAATTGACCACCGTGGTTTCATCCCCCATTTTCAAAACTTTGGAGGTCAAATTTGGACTTTCTGACGTATGTTTTTGAGAAGGATATACGCTCTTTGTCTTTTTAACTAAAAATGCTCTTCTTCTTCTCCTCCTTCTCCTCCTCCTCCTTCTTCCTCCTCCTCTTCTCCCTTTTCTTCTCCTGCTCTTTCTCCTTCCTCTTCTCCTTCTCCTTCCTCTTCCCTTTCCCCTTCCCCTCCCCCTCCCCCTTCTCCCTTTTCTTCTCCTTCTCCTTCTCCTTCTCCCTTTTCTTCTCCTGCTCCTTCTCCTTCCTCTTCTCCTTCTCCTTCCTCTTCCCTTTCCCTTTCCCCTCCCCCTCCCCCTTCTCCTTCTCCTTCCTCTTCCCCTTCTCCTTCTCCCTTTTCTTCTCCTTCTCCTTCTCCTTCTCCTTCCCCTTCCCCTTCTCCTTCTGGTTCCCACTCTGATTCAACAGGACACCAGCCATGATTGGGTGTTCGTTTGTGGTGGATAGAGAGTACTTCGGAGAGATTGGCCTGCTTGATCCTGGCATGGAGGTTTACGGAGGAGAAAACATTGAACTCGGTATGAGGGTGAGTTGTACGTCCCTTGTCTTCATGGATTGATGTTCAGTTCAGGGAAGATCTGAAGAAATGAACTTTTCCCTGTTGACGTGGTCATCACCAGCCTCAGCTCTTCCCTTGCTGTCCACTGACTCACCTCACCTAGTAATTTTTATAAACTATCACCATTTTTATTTACAAAGTTTATTATATTCTTTCAGATTCTTTGGCCTAAAAACAAATTGTCTGGAAGGGTCTAGAAGACCTCCAGGGTCCCCTCCAATTCTATATTTATAATTCTATGGGAATCGGCCAAATTCAGTGCGCACTCTTAGCTGGCATGCATTATACATTATACTTTGAGAAGAGCAACTGAAGTGAGACTCTCTGCAGAAGATCTCAACAAGAAGTGAGCCAGGAACTCTTTGGTATTTATGTCTGCAATTTTTATGACTCAAAGCTGCAGAAAAATAGAACACATTGTTTTCCTCCATAAAACATTTAATATCTTACCAACAGATCATAATCTATTGTAACCCTTGATAGTACAGTGGTTTAGTGCACCCTGTTATTAACACAGCTGCCTGCAATTTCTGCTGGTTCGAATCTCTCCAAGGCTCAAGGTTGACTCAGCCTTCCATCCTTTCTAAGATAGGTGAAATGAGGACCCAGTTTGTGGGGGCAATAAGCTGACTTTGCATAAAATATACAAAAGAATGAAGGCTATTGCTTAACACACTGTAAGCCGCCCTGAGTCTCCGGAGAAGGGCGGCATATAAATCAAATTAAAAAAAAAAAAAACCCTTTCCAAATTAGATCCCAGGAATCCTGTCGACTGTATGGAAGGTCTGCATCAAAATTCCCAGTGTAGCTGCCTTATCTTGACTCCAGCAAAGTAGCCAACAAAAACCTAATAAAATAGCTTGTTAGGAAATAACTTTCTTGAATGGAATTTCAGAGCTGTTGCTTTGCAGAACAATCCCATCTGACATGGTGGCTGCAAGGAGTCTGTTTCTTTAAGATAAAAAGGATTCATTCATCCCTTTTTTTTGTGATGGCTGTTAAGTGAACTCCCTAGTGATTCCCAGAGTAGATCTTTAGTAATGCAAATATGGATAGTCCTTGACTTACAACCAGTTGTTTAATAGCAAAAAAATAAATAAATTATCCATTTGGGGAGTGGATTTGGATCTAACGGCCATGAGATTCACTTAACAACCGCTGTAAAAATCGATTGAAAACGTGGGATCTGGTCATGTGGTGCCTCGACTTACAACCACAATGACGTACAAGCCTGTCAACCCTGGAGCCATCTTTGAGCATCTTCAGGGTTGCCACACCAGGAATCTGGTCCCAATTGTGGTTATAAGTCAATGATTGCCTGTAATTACTTTAGTCAGGCAAGATTCTGGTGGAAGGTGAGGAAAAATAAAGGACACTTCTCCGAAGCAACTCCGTGTTTCTTGCTTGTTCCTGACATGTAGTGAGAGAAGGGTAGTGTGTGTGTATCCTTTCAAGTTGAATGGCTATTGATTTCATTTTATTTTCTTGCGTGTGTGAGTGTCCTTTAACTGGAGTTTACTTTCAAAGAAAGATTACTGACTGTGGATGAAAACAACACCCCATTGAAAAAAGGAATCCTGCGTTGCTCTGAAGTCCACTCTAGCTTCACACATTTCTTTATCTTGAAGGAGGAGGAGGAGGAGGAGGAGGAGGAGGGGGGGGAGAATAAGAGGAGTTATTATTTACTTGGACTTCAGTAAGGCATTTGATAAAGTAGACCATAACCTACTACTAGATAAAGAGGAGGAGGAGGAGGAGGAGGAGGAGGAGGAGAGGGAGAGGAAGAGGAAGAGGAAGAGGAAGAAGAAGAATTATTTACTTGGACTTCAGTAAGGCATTTGATAAAGTAGAACATAACCTAGATAAAGAGGAGGAGGAGAAGAAGAAGAAGGAGAAGGAGAAGACGACAAAGCTAAATCTCAGGACAATAGTGTCAAATTTTAAGTAGACACTCCTGAGAACATGGCAGAATGCGGTGATGTTCCTGGAAATTGTCAGCTTCTTTGAAAGCTCGAGGATCTGCTGCTATTTTTGCATCTCCCTCGTGTGCTTTCTACACGCAAGCCATTTGTCCTTTGACTACTTACGGCTCTCTCTGACTTATTTATTTATTTCTTCATAAAAGGGCTGCCATGGCTTTGTTCTTGATTTGATCCACCCCCACCCCCACCCCGGTCTTAGAATAATAAGATTTTTGTGGTCCTTTGAACAGTCACTGCTTTGCTTCCTTCCTTCCTTTTCCTTTTCCTTTCTGGAACGTTCGCTATTCTGCTATAACCATTTCTAACAGCCTTGCAGTTTACCTATGCCAAATTTAAACTCTGAACTGTTCCTTTTGTTGCATTAACTGATAATGTAGCAGCTTCTGAAAGCCTCGGCATGTGCCGGATCAAATCCTCCCTCTTGAAAAGAAAGGTCACACGCTTGCTATTCTATTGAAAGACACACAAGTCACTTCCCTTTTGGTTAGATGCGGGCGAGCATCATTTTACCTGTGTGTGTAAGATGTACCTCTGGCTGGTGAATGACAAGGCTGGTGACTCATTCATAGAAGAGCCAGCGTCTCGTGATGCTTCCAACCTTTAGGCTTAGAACCTAGAATAAAACATTTGGAAGGGACCTTGGAGGTCTTCTAGTCCAACCCCCTTGCTCAAGCAGGAGACCTTACACCATTCCAGACAAATGACTGACCAGGCTCTTCTTAAAAACCTCCAGTGATGGAGCCCCCACAGCTAATCGGTTCCGCTGATTAATTGTTCTCACTTCAAGAAATTTCTCCTTGGTTCTAGACTGGATCTTTCTTTAATGATCTTCCATCAATTATAATGGGATGGGAGGGGAGGGGAGGGGAGGGAGGAGAGGAGTGGGGACAGAAGGGAAGGGAAGGAAAGGAAAGAAAGAAAGAAAGAAAGGAAAGGAAAGAAAGGTGGGAAGGGAAGGGAAGGGAAGGGAAGGGAGGAAGGAAGGAAGGAAGGAAGGAAGGAAGGAAGGAAGGAAGGAAGGAGTAAAGAAAAATAGCAATTTCCATCAATTAGAATAAGATGGGATGGGATGGGATGGGATGGGAAAGGGAAGGGAAAGGGAAGGGAAAGAGAAAGAAGGGAAGGGAAAGGAAGGGAAGGGGAGGGAGGGAGGGAGGGGAGGGGAAGGAAGGAAGGAAGGAAAGGAGGAGTAAAGAACAATAGCAATTTCCATCAATTAGAATGGGATGGGATGGGATGGGATGGGAAGGGAAGGGGAGGGGAGGGGAGAAAGGAAGGAAAGGAAAGAAAGGTGAGAAGGGAAGGGAGGAAGGGAAGGGAGGGAGGGAGGGAGGGAGGGAGGAAGAAGGAAGGAAGGAAGGAAGGAAGGAAGGAAGGAAGGAAGGAAGGAAGGAGTTAAAGAACAATAGCAATTTCCATCAATTAGAATGGGATGGGATGGGATGGGATGGGAAGGGAAGGGAAGGGAAGGGAAGGAAGGGAAAGGAAAGGAAAGGAAAGGAAAGGAAGGAAAGGAAAGGAAAGGAAAGGAAAGGAAAGGAAAAGAAAAAGAAAAGAAAAGAAAAGAAAAGAAAAGAAAGGAAAGGGGTAGGGTAGGGTAGGGTAGGGTAGGGTAGGGTCCCTTTCTTCTTCTTTCTCTCTCCCCTCCTCTCTTCTCCCTTCCCTCCCTCTTCTCCTTCCCCTCTCTCTTGTCGTTTCCCTTTTCAGTTGAATCTAAAGTGGTTGTTGGGCCTGTAATTTTGACGCCGCACACCTAGATAACCTCTTTCAGCAGGTCTGGCTTTTTGAAATTCTGGGTGTGACGCAGTGGAAGGGGGTTCCGGAGGGCAGCTCTGTTCTTTTCTTCCAGGTTGATTGGATCTGGATTAATATTTTTCTCCGGTGGATGTGACAGTCAGGTTGATGTAGGAGGGCCATACCGGCTTAGCGCAAACCCTTTGAGCTTTTTAATTAAACCCAGCAGGCCCACTGTGTTCCCTTTTGAAGTTCTGCTTTCGCTTACACGCGTCCCCAGGGCTACCTTCAAAACGCCAGCGTGCGGCTGCATTCTCTCAGTCCGCCTGATAAAACATCCAGGCTTATAAATAACTAGTGGCGGGGAGGAAGGTGAGCGGGGGGGGGGGCAACGACACCGATTTAATGCTCGGGCTGCTAATCTTTAATTTGAAAAACCGGAACCCTGCAAAGAGCTGCCGTTGCATTTCCATGAATCACAAAGTGGCATTTGAAGCGTTAGAGAAACTGATCGGGCTCAGGAAGATGGGCTTTGAGGAATTAGTGACCGCAGGGGTGGAAATCGTGTAGAAGCAGGACCTCGTGGGTGGAAAGCCTTCACCGGGGGGGTCCTGCAACCGATCCCTTAAACCCTATAGAGATGGCAGCATGCACAAATGGTAAGAAGGAGGGAATTTGTACTCCTACAAGACTTAGAAAGCCGAATGATCCACAGTACTCATTGCCTAGAATAGAATAGAATAGAATAGAATAGAATAGAATAGAATAGAGTAGAGTAGAGTAGAGTAGAGTAGAGTAGAGTAGAGTAGAGTAGAGTAGAAAAGAAAATAGAATAGAATAGAATAGAATTAGAGTAGAGTAGAGTAGAGTAGAGTAGAGTAGTAGAATAGAAGAATAGAAAAGGAAAGGAAAATAGAATAGAATAGAATAGAATAGAATAGAATAGAATATAAGAGTAGAGTAGAGTAGTAGAGTAGAGTAGAAGAATAGAATAGAAAAGAAAAGAAAAATAGAATAGAATAGAATAGAATAGAATAGAATAGATAGAATAGAATAGAATAGAATAGAATAGAATAGAATAGAATAGAATATAAGAGTAGAGTAGAGTAGAATAGAATAGAATAGAATAGAATAGAATAGAATAGAATAGAATAGAACAGAACAGGAACAGGAATAGAATGAATAGAATAGAATAGAATAGAATAGAATAGAATAGAATAGAATAGAATAGAATAGAATAGAATAGAATCT